GCACCTGACCCACCCAGCCAGCTCATTCGGTTTGTGTGTCAAATAGCAAAGCAACACCATCTACACAGCCAAACTTGTCATGGAACTAGTGTGCCTTCTTTACTGGGCAGGCAGGATGCACCCCAATTCAGAGCCTGGCTCAATCTGAAAAAACACCTCAGCAATGGGAGAACCATGCATCAATCCCAATTGTGAGGTGCATAGGTCTATGGCCACCTCTTGGAAGAAACCTGAAAGGCCTGCTATGACCCCCCTCCCCACCATGCCCTCCATTCCTAAGCAGTCCATTAGTAATGGCTCTGCTGTGCTAGTTAGTTTCCTGTGGTTCTGGGGGAGGAGGCTGATGGCCATCCAGAATTCAGGCTGGTACCATTGATGAGGAACTGATTTAATACAGATCAGGTTACTTCTACTCAATACCTTAATGAAGGGTGGGTTGCCAGAAAGTTATGCTTATGTGGGACCAGCCCAGAGGGGCAGCTAACATGGATGATGGGTACATCAGATCTGGCTCCATGATGCTGTTATGCTATTGGCACCACTTGCCTACAGTAGTGCCCAAAGCATGAAAGACCAGAGGGATGGTTTCCAGGACTGAAAGGATCATGACATCAGGACAAATACATATGAGGGATTGGGGAGTGATAGGATGGAAAGACAACACACTTAAAGTTCCAGGGGTGCATCCAAATGAGTTCGCATACATCTCTTGCGGGATCTCAGAGGAATTTGAGATGCCACAAGATGTGCGTTGGGGACAAAAAGTGTTCCCCGCGCTGCATATTTACAGTGCAGGATTAAAATTTGATACCTGGATAACACACAGGGGAAAAAAAAAAAAAAAAAGAGGGGCAGGGCACAGTCCCCGCCTGTGACCTGAGGTAACCTGTAGGGCTGTGCGAAGCTTCGGGTGGCGATTTGATTCGGAGGAGATTCAGCCCAATTTGGTGGCCGAATCTCCAAATCTGAATCAAATCAGGAGACCAATTAAAAAGTCTGAATCGATTCAAAGCTCTCTGAATCTTCAGAAAA